GACCAATAAGCGGGTTGAACATACTTTTGCATAAACTCCTCAAAGTATCGATCTTTCGCGAAAGTGAAAGGCATCTCGATTGCTGCCAAAAATTCAGACATTCCTACTCTCATTCGGTCCTGCGAATAACAAAAATTAGAAAAAGTAATTGTTCTACTAGTCCTACACTATTAAAAGAGGGAGTTTGGAGGCTACTATTCATAAGCCTTTTGGCCAAGTAAGCCAGCCATTTTCGAGCCATAGAAGCCGAGCCACAAAAGCCGAGGCATGTAAGATGAGGTTTTACTTTTCTGCCTTTTCCTGTCTCTTCTCACACACGGCAACCCACTTTTCTCTGTGCTCTCCCATTTTCAATTTTCATCTGACACACGCAACATTTTCTCTTCTTCCTTCAGCCTTTCCGCAATGAAACCGTCGATGAGCTTCTCTTTAGCTTCTCCTCCAGCCATCTTTCGTAGCGATACCACCCCCCAACTCCAAGAAAGACGCCAGACGTAGAAGAATCTTAGCCAGGATGGGGTTTTCCACGGAGACACGGACCGTGTCTCCGTCTTGATTTCCCAATCGTAAGTTCCGCTGCAGCCTTTCATCTTTTCTGAACTTGCCTCAAACACTATATTGTTTTCGTTAAGTTTTTCAGGCTGACCAGACTGTATTGAGCTTGAAACCAGGAGGTGGGAGCCGTGGTGGAACCAGATTTCTGGGCCCTCGCTTTGATCCATCCTCAGAGGCGAATACTGATCTACCGGTGCGGCTACGTCCCCATGGCGGTGGTCGTGCTTCATTCAGTTTCTTCAAGGTTAATTTTTTTTTAATTTCACTTATTCTTACACATCTAGGGTTTTTTATCCGATTGTATTCTACTTATGTTTCTTTACGATTTATTATTTATATTAAAAAAGATCCAAATTTGGATTCATCAATCTTTCTGTCGATAGTTTTTTGATATATATATGTGTATGTGAGTTCATACGTACATGTTTGTTTATATGGTAATGAGCTTTTAAGAGCTTCCAATCTGTGTATAATTCTTTCTTTCCTGTTTGGAATTGAAGCTTAAAACTTGTTGAGTTGTAAATACACATGAAAAACATTTAAAGGTTTCTTTTTTTAAAGATGGAATTCTATCATTTGCAAGTTCTTGATCAATCTTAAATTTTCACTAAATTCAGCTTCACCTTTGTGTGTTTTGTTTGATGCTTGTTAATTTTGATGGAAAATGTGAATTCCAGTATGAAGAATGCCCTAACCTGCTAATCAATATTCTATTTGTTCAACTTCAAGTTAAAAACCTTCCCTATTACTAAATAAAGGAAACATATTACCTTTAGCTGCAGTTTAAATAACATTTATAATATCAGTTACATTGTCATCAGCACGGATGCTCACCGCAAAAAGGAGTTCGAGGTAATTTTGTATATTGAGTTTTTCGAATACTCTTATCGATTTTTTTTTGTAAGCATTAATAAACATGTCTGAATGTTTGGGTGTTTTTTCAGGAGGGTTGACTTCTATGGATGATTTCCCCATATTCAGAGAGGCCAGCATAATTGATTGTTAGAGGGAGAAAGTCAAGGGTAAGAAAAAATGCTAGAAAATAGGGTACGAGTTCGTCTATATTCTAAGTAGATTGTTTTAGTTTTTTTTGTAGGAAAGGACATGAAAGCATTCGTGTGGGGTAAAGGGGTTATGAAAGTTTATAAAGTTTCTTTACTTAATTTTCTTTTCCTGCAAACAGTCTAATTTGAGTAAGATGAAAAGTTTTATTTTTGTAGTTCCTGAATTCTAGACTATTTCTGACTTCAAATTATATACCAGTTCTAAGTTTTAAATTTTCAGTGTGTGAGAATACAAGTGATTTGGTTAACTGTAATGAAAGGAAGTCCCATTTTGCCATGAAAGTGGACATTCATTTGGAATGTCCAAGAAAGGACATGAAAGCATTCGTGTGGGGTAAAGGGGTTATGAAAGTTTATAAATTTTCTTTGGTTGATGTTTCTTTTCCTGCAAACACCAGGGAAATGAATCCGGCACATTTATTAAGAATGGAGTATTTATCTACTAATGTCTGATTCCATTTTACTGGGTGTTCTTTTAATTAAATCTATGCTGGAACAATTGATGCAAAATAGTTGAATGTTGCAATGAGGTATGAAATTTTCGTTAATGATATTTTGACCTATGGAATATTGGATCTGATGGGGTTTCTTTTCAGGGCTCTTGATTTTGAAATGACAGATGAGGTAATGAATAAAGCTCAAGTTTGCTCTGATTCCATTTTACTCGGTGTTCTTTTCATTAAATCTATACAGGAACAATTGATGCAAAAGAGTTGAATGTTTCAATGAGGTATGAAAGTTTCTTTAATGATATTTTGACCTATGGAATATTGGATCTGACGCGGTTTCTTTTCAGGGCTCTTGGTTTTGAAATGACAGATGAGGTAATGAATAAAGCTCGAGTTTGCCCACGTTAATATCTTCTCTCACATATATGTTATTTGAAGAGTCCTAAACTGTATTAATATTCCTATAAAAGATCTCATATTGCTTGTGATATTTATTCCTCTTGTTGCCATTTGCCTCATACTAATAATAGAAATATATACATATTTGTGTTCCAAAGATAAGGGGTTCCAGATGACAGGAGATTTAATTCAACCTTGTTTTCCCAAAATTTCTATTTTATCAGCGGGCTCTTACTATCCTTATAGTGATTAGATGGATATTTGAGAAGTTTGGACCTCTTTTGATGTGTTTTCTTCTTCATTCTTAAAGAAAGTTATTCTATTTTTATTTTTTTAATCGTATACACACTTATTAAAAATGATGTAGAAATGTTACTTCTTTGAAGGAAAGAATATGCGATCATAAGATTTTACCTCGTGAGAGTCGCATGTTGCAAATTTAATGCATGGGGTTCTATATTAATAGTTTATTTA